CGGAGTTCAAAACGCTATTCTTCAGTTTGCCGGCGTACAAAGTGGGTACGAATTCTGAGAACAACCTTTGCTTACTTGGCTTTCATCTAGCAACAATCGGTCTTTATCTTCGGCATGTTCATCTTGGGAAACTATTTATGGAGGCGGCTTAGGAAACGAATGCTCATTAGGTTTTTTGCACACGCATTATGATGACTATCTGTGTTTACAGAGAGAGAAAATATTTTAGGAATTTTACCTCACATTGTTCTACAATCGCTTACTAAGAATACTGATGAAATTAGAATTAAAGAATGCTAAGTCCCCAAATGCGGGGATGTACTCCCTATAAGGTTCTTTAAACCGCTCCCTTAAATTCGGTAGAAAAACATAATAAAATTGATAACATTTTAGGTTTTATTGTTATTATTCTCAAAATATTTGGAGGGTAAGCCGAATGTTTTTATGAAGCAGCTACAAGTCTGGCAATTTCTGGTGGCAGCACTCCCATCCGCAGACGGAGGAGCAGCTGCTTTTTCACTCTTGAACTTCCACTTGTGAGTGGAAAACCCGTGGAGAGTGACGTGTCGATCGGTTCTTGGCTTTTGGGCTTCTGGGCTCCTACGCTGTGTGTCAGAAACTGTTTTCGCCCGGGGGACTGGCAACCACTCTTGGCGGCGCTGTTGTCGCCGGTTTGACAACGCCTTTTGTGATTGGAATACGAAATAAGACACAGAACAATGGAGCCACGAAATCTGTGGAAGACGAGCCACGGCTCTGGGTTTTTGGTTCTGGCTTCTGGCTTCTGGGTTGCGGCTCTTGGATGGAGATGGAGACGGAGTCGGAGATGGAGCACACAAATCAAACGCATCTGCCGGCGGAGGCAGACAGCTGCTGGGGATTCGGAAAGAAGACGCCGCCGTGTGTATCCGACAACTGTCAATGTATCTCGTAGTTGGCGTCGACTGGTAATTACGTGACGTTTTCTTGATAAATTGTGATTCGTGGCGTGATTTGCGGGCGGCCATTACTCGAGACTAATGTGCGGCATGCTCTCAGAATTGGAACAAACGCCAAAACGCTTTGATTTTAATGCATTTCTATTAACGGTTTCGCTGGCTGCCAACACCCGTTCCCCCGCCTTCCCAATAAGCCCAAAAACTCCGCCAGCCAGCCAACTCGGCGGCCACATGGCGACCCAGTTCGTCAGTGGAATCGACAAATACGAGGGTTCGATTCCGGCGGGGGAGCGGCGCTCCATTCGATTCATTCAGCAGAGGTTATCAACCCAAAGAGCTGCGTTCAATGCATTGACACGATTTTTGGCTTCGGTCCTGCATAATAACCAACTGCACATTAACAGTTAACACCCGCGCACTCGCCACGCACACTGAGCAAAATCTGCGACAACTAAAGGTGATCAATACCTAAATGCCACATGAGAATTCAGTTTCTTTGAAAATGTTTATTATTTCAATTATATTAATTGGGCTCATTTACAAAACTATGAAGTGTTTATTTTAAAATTGTTCTCATTAATATAAACAAGAAGTATTTTCAATTAATTGGAATAAGTATACATAAAAAATATTACTAAAGTTAATTGACAGGTAAACGTTTTAGCAATCTGCATTAAAATCTCTTTCTTCAACTCAGTAGTTTAATTTTTCAAAACTTAAGAGTATTCAACACTCATTGTTAAGTTATTTCTTAGCAGTTTAATTGACTCTTCCAGTGTGGAGAACCTTTTCGAGTATGAAGTGAAGTGTCGGCCCCAAAAGCAGCGTTTCCTGCTGCCATCCTGCCAAATCTGCAATTTCGGCCCATTGGCCAGCGATCATTTGCGGTTCGCACTGCTGACGCGGCCTTTGCCTTTGTTTATTATATTGTCGTTATGCTAATTTTATTTGCAGCCCAACTGATTGGCAGTCGCGCGGAGAGAGTGCATATAGTTTGCGGGGCTGGCAAGTGAATGGCAGGCAGATATATCGGCCGATGTCGGCGCCGTGACGTTAATGTCGATGTCATGTACTGCCGCTTGGTTCGCCTGCATTTGACATTTCGCACATGGCTTTCTTGTGATTACAGCTCCTACTCTTGTGAGTAGCGCCATCGCCAGCGCCAGTTTACCTTTCAATAAAAATTGTTGAATAATCAACGGCAGCGGAGGAAAGCATCACAAACAGCAGCAGCGCGATACGCGCACTGAAAGGTTCATTTCATTTTGCTTCGATTCATTTCAGTTCGGTTCAGTTTGGTTCAGAAGAAAGCGTATTGCGAATTTTTTTCTTTCGGTTTGACTTGATTTGCGTGATGTGCATGCGGAGCAGCGGCGGCGACAGGTTCGATTATGTAATCCCGCAAATGTTATGGTATTTTAAGCACTAAATAAATAAGAGGCGTGCTTGCACTTCGCCGTGCTTCCAAATGCCTTCCCAAAGTTCAGGCCCCGCCGAAATGGAAGGGCGAAAGGCAACTCGGCTCGGTCGTGAGAGCCAACCGCGGGGGAGAAAGAATTTGCTGGGGATATGCCCATCTGATATTTCCCAATCCCAGGAACCGACGATCCCACTGACAGCTGCTGAATGAATGACTTCTGAGTGCATGAGCAAGTAAGCTGTCAGGTCCACACACTCCCGAAAAGTTATCCATGTTTCAAATTAGTGAGAAGGGTTGAACTCTGGAAGTTTTCAAGTGCAACAGCACATGGCTCAATTCTGTTAAAACCCATTTATAAATAGGTACCAACATAAATATAATTTAGATAGTTCACTCGCATACTAAATATCATCATACAATTATTCCACATATTTGGGTTCTGAAAAGAAAATATTAATAACATTATAGTCATGCAATTAAATACGACTCATTTTTCTTCTATTTAAGAACACTTTTATAGACCTAGTCTTGGCCCGTGGGTGTCCCATAATCTAGGCAAAAAGAGAAAATTGTGACCCGTCGAAGAGGAAGGCCCAGAACCCCGCACAAAGAATCAAAATTAAAATTTTCAGCTACCCAAATCGAGAAAATAGGCAAAACGTGCCGGGCATAAGTGAAAATTTCTGGCCGCAACACACTAAATGCCGCCATGACCATATTTAAGAAGCCAGTCGAGCAAAAGTCATTTGACACACGGTTGTCGTTCCCGATGTTGCTGTTTCTGTTTTTGTCGCCGTTTCTGTTGCTCTTGCTGTTGCTGTTGCTGCTGGCGATGTTGCTGGCGTAGCTGCAACTGTTGTTGCTGCTGCTGCTGTGTCTGATGTTGCTAGCAGTCAATAAACTAAAACCGGTAGCATGAATTGCCGGTTGTGAGTTTCTGGCTGGCCAACTCGCTGGATTTCGATGGCTCCGCCATTAGCAATCGCAATGTGTGGAAAAAGGTCAGCGGGCCAGAGCATCGACGGCTCGGCTGGGATGGGTTTTCGATTGGGTTTCGGCCCGGAGCTTTGAGTTTGCAGTTCCAGGTCATATGGGATTGTGGCGGAGAGCACGGCTGCAATTTCATTGTCGGTTTGTTTGTGCCATGACAGTTTTCCACTCAGCCGAAAGTTCAATGCACCTCGGGGGGAGTCTGTAGGTGCACCGAAAAGTATTTATCAGTGTCTTGTGGGATTCTAAATAAATATTTACAATTTTATGCAGAGCCCTAAAATCATCTTAGAGTTTATTTTGCAACTTTACTTAGTAATGGGAAGTTGATTGGGTATCTAGTTTCGTGTCTTTAACACAATCAAAAAGGAAATTATTTATGTTATTATCTTAACTATAAATCATTATAACATTTACATTTTTTTTAAATATATTGACTGCTTAAACAAGAAAACTCTATTATGCATTTTTTTAACCATCAAATATGCATTAAATGGTTTGTTTTGTATGGCATACGTTTTGAGTCGTTTATCTCTTTTGCATTCGTTTCAAATCAATAAACTCCCAAGGGGCTGCTTAATAGCATATGTGAAATGCATTTGGCAACGTTCACAATGATAGGTTTTTCTCTCTGTGCACGTGTCAGAGCGCCTGCTCACACTGTCAATTAATGGCAAATGTCAGGGGCTGGCTTTGAAGCATTAATCATAATTAGTTATGCCACACGCCGGGAACAACAACAATGGCTATTGATATGTAAACTGTAAACTGTAAACAATTAGAGCTGATTTGAAAAACGTTAACTGGAGTTGAGTGCGGCGTTGGGTTCAAGTGCCAGCTGCTCTGTCGAAAGTCGTGCTCGGCAATTAGCCGCATTTAGGTTTAAGTTTAGGGATTGCCTTTGCTGTCGTTGTTGCCGTGCAACCACGTAACTCCGACTTGGTGCACAAAACCGGCTGCCTGGGACTTTGGCCGGAGATCTGGAGTGATTTGTGCTCCAAGAGGAGACAATGGGCACAAAGGTGATCTGTGCGTTGAGTCCGTGGGCGGAGGTTGGTGCGTATTTCTCGGGCTTTGGGGCTCAGCCCTTCGGAAGTTATCCAATCCAATTAGGAGCTGTCGGCATTACGTAAACGGTTGGCTTGAGGGAAAGGGAGAAGAGAAGGCAAAAGGGAGGGGGACTGGAGTGGGCGGGGCAACAGCGGGCTTGACACACAATTCGCCGCTCGCCGTCCATTGTTTTCGATTAAGTTTTGAGCAGCAACTGACAAAAATTCGTTATAAAATTGCACTGCAATGGACAGCGGCGGCGGCAGCAGCGGCAAAGCAAACATTTTAAACAATTATAAAACTTGTTTTACGCTTGACAAAACTACAAACAGCGAAGTGCAGCCAGCGTTTTGCTATCAAATGCGGCGTGGCTGTCAAGTGCAGTTTTCCCCCTTTTTCAGTTCCTGCTCCCGTTTTCCACATCCATTTCACTCAAACAATTGTTTTGTCATCGGCGGCAGATGCACATAAATTTTATTCATACACCGCATGATGGCAAAAAATGGCAATTTATTTACTTATGGTAATCTACTTATTGGAAATCCTTTAACAAATAGCTTAACATTTCAATTATGAATGTTTCACATCAACTGGTCCAGGCGTTAGCTTTCATGGTCCAGTGGTATTTTTCTATTGTGTTACTTTCGAGCTAAGGTATTTAAAAGTCTATTAAATATGTCGTTGCAATCGGAAGAGCTTGGCAGTCTTTTGGCCGTGATTGGGGATGAGGTGAGCTCTTTATATCGTTATTAGTCAGTTAAAGGAATTGGGTTTATTTGAGGATACTTGTGTGGGGTTCTTGCTTGGAGGCATTGGAGAAGTCGACGAGGATCGAAAGGCAAATTTTATGGTGGTGGAGAAAGGTAATTATGGTATATCTCTTATTAATCAAGAAAATTCTTGAGAAGCATTTGCTCTATTTTAAGAACCAGCTGATATTATATTTGGAGTCCCATTAGTTCCATTTCTTAGTACAATCTTTTTGAACTTCCGCAGACACTACTCCTCTTCAGATTGAAGAGTGTTTCAAAAAGTTCCTGGGTCGACCTGACATAGCCATCATCCTGATCAACCAGGTGTACGCGGACATGATTCGCTCCACTGTCGATGCGCACACGCTGGCAGTGCCCACTGTGCTGGAGATTCCCTCGAAGCAGCACGCCTACGACTCCTCCAAGGACTCGATCCTGAAGCGGGCTAATGTGAGTTGGCCTGCGGTGTGAGTTAGGACCCCTATTCACACCATTCCTTCCCCAGAGCGTTTTCAGTCCGCCCGAGAGGCGCTACTAGCGGCTAAACTTTGGCAATCAGTTTTGGGATCGAAGTGGGAGTCTAATGAAAGATTTGCATAGTTCTCAACTGCATACCGAGTGCCGATGCCAGTGCTACAAAGTCGTTTGAATTGTTCAAAAAAAAAAAAAACGTGCATAGATATTTTCACACAGAAATGATGGGGGAAAATAAAGCTTATTCGTACATCAGGCAACTTTTCAGCTTTTGCGTTTTAAGGAAATTGCCAAAAAACTGCAGCGGCAACAATCTGAAAAGAGGAAAGCAACAAAAATGCGTTGCGCTTGCAACAAAATTGAAAACAGCAACCACACAAAAACAAATACAAAAGAAGGAAAGCCATAACAAAAGTAACAACAAAGTGAACGAAAACGATACAAATAAGCGCTGAAATGCCAATACATGGCAAAAATGCAAGAAGAAAACCGAATGAAACCAAATAAAACAAAACAGCGAACCGAAAAAGACACAACAGAAACCTAACAAAATAAAAACTCTTAAAAAGACAGCACAATTTACGTTGTCTGGATGGATCTGGACCGGGCTGCAGGAAAATCGGGGAAAGTCGGGGGAAAAGCGACTTCTTACGGGCTGCTTAGCACAACAAAAGCATGCGAAAACAATATTCGAGCAAAGTATTTTGCGCCAACTTTTCGCACCAAGAAGTTGGCGTCGAGAATGCATTCAGAAACTTCTGCTCCAGTGACAAGTTGCTGGAACCGAACCACCCAGAAGCGGCGGAGCTCGGAGCCCTGGTGGCTCCACAAAAGCGCAGCCTATAAGCAGGCAGCACTCCATGCCCCAAACTTGCCAACGCCGCCCCAAGCTTAGCAGCAAAATGCTGCAAACTTGGCTCGAATGCGGTTGGTAACGCGTTTAGAAACAATTGCTACTGAGTTTGGAAATAATATAATATCACACAATTTGCCACCGCCTTGAAAATCAAGAAACCATAAAACTCTTTACACCAAATTTAATCGGTATTGGTTGTATTTTGATTTAAAGCTAGACATTTTGTTATTTTTTCTGTCCACACAATAATGCCCAAATTAAAAGCCAGCAATATTATGTCAGGGAAAATATTTTTTTCACTTATTAGTTAAGCAATTTATAAAGTTTTTATATATTTGAAATTCATAATTAGAAATAAATATATAAAATATATAAATATATTAATTAAATGTTATATGTTATCATATGTTATCTATTTGTGTTATTATAGAGAAACTATAGAAGTTAATAAAAATTTCCTCGATAATAATTTCACTTAAAATTTTTACTTGGCTTGAAAAGGTTTTAATTTTGATGGTATTAACTTATTATACATCTTTACTTATCTATACATTTATACATACGGATGTTTTCTCCAGTACGTTCCATATTAAAAAATCTCAACTCCTGCAGTTATTTCACCTTTCCGTTTTTTGTTTCACGAGCCAAAAATGTTCTAAAAAGTTCATCTTTTCTATAACTAATAATGCATTGTGAATTAATGAGATGTGACAATTAGGAACACGACACTGGCTGGTTGTCAAAAATCTGGACACGTTGTACTTGCCACCCATCCTGCAATTCCTAGGCAGGCAGGTTTTGACAACAAAATGGCGTGGAGCAGTTAGGACCTAATTAGCCGCACATGCCAGTCATTCTGGGCGGGGAGCACGCGGCGTATGCGTAATTGCATTACATGAAGTCTGCCAAGCTCACTGCAGTTCGGCTGTCACCTGCCACAAGCATTCAGCAGAGGCCAGAGGCTGCCAGTGATACCTCAAAGAGCCAAATGAGACATGGCAGCAGCATCAAGGAATTTGCATCTACAGATGTAACAGGATACTAAGCTGGGAACCCTGAACCCTAATAAGAATTACTTAACATTTGGTTAAAAGTATTTTTATTTAACTTTAATCACGTGATTAAGTTGTGCAAGAGCTTGAACTATTTATTCATTTCCCATTTCATTTATTTCAATAAATCTGAGTTGATATAATATTAATATAGTACCAGACGCCTCACCCAATCTGAATACAAAATAAAACAATTTGAGTTGCACTGTCATCAACGAGGAGATCTCAATATGGCATCAATTGGAGGCTGTATAATAGGAGCAACCAGACTCCTTAAAGCTCAAGGCGGAACTCGTGACACAAAGCGACAAGTTTTGCGCCTTTTTAGCAGTTTAGGAGCAAGAAAGAAAACTAAATAAATAAGCGACTAACTGACTGACTGAAGACAGCAGGAGCGGAGCATCGGAGCAACTGCAGCGAAACTTTTGCGCCAAGCAATGGGGAACATAAATAAATGAAATTATTCAAAAGTAGTTTGGAATTCTCGTGACAGCGCATAAAAACAAACAGCTGAATGCAATTTGGCTCGTTCTAAGCCATGCGAGAAGGAAAAGTGAAAATAGAACAGCGGCAGCCAGACGATGACGAAGATAGTCGGAGCCAGGAAAGTCCGGAAAGTCCGGAAAGTGCGGAATCCTCTCGACTCAGCCAGTGTAAATTCAATGCATAGACCCAAAAACGCATCGAGCAGCCGACGGAAACTGAGTCCTTCAGACCAACTGAGGCTGGCATAATTATAATTGGAACTGGGAGCTGAGATCTGAGTTCTGACAACTGAGAGCCAACTGAGGGCAGAGGGACTCCGAGTCGAGTGCGGAAACTGATACCACATTTTTGGCAATTCAATTTCGGAAATGAAACCGAGTCACATGGACGCAGAGCCTCCGATGACCGACGCTCCTCATCTGCTTGCCAAATTTAGCAAAAGACGCCCGGCCGGAATTAACAAATGGAATTGTTGCTCCGCAAATTAACAGACAACTGAGGCCATTCACCAAGCCCACTAACGCTGTCCAGCGACTGCAAAATTATTGCGTCCGAGAACTTGTTAGTTCAATCAGGACATCGGGAACACACCCAGATGAGCATGGACATATATGGTACATTTATACGAAGACCACGCCCGCACAGACAGCCCTTGACATCCGCAGCGGCAGAGACGTGCTCGAAAACAAAGTTAATTAAATGATCTGATCTCCATTATTCCCAAAAAGCTAATCTCAATTACAAAATTGAAACGACCAGCAGTGCACTTCGGAAAAGTCCTTTGTTCTCACTCGAAATTGTTGGGCGTACACAGTAGGCTATCTGTATGTTCTTTTCACAAATGATATTATTGTATAATAAGTAAAGAGTATGGGGCATTATTACAAAAGGAAACGTTAAAATGATTTTCTTTAAACCAGACTTTGACGGATGTTAATCAAAGAAGTGGTATATAGGAGAAACAACTAAAAACAAATAAAGTAGAAATTGGTACCAAAAACAACCACTTATGTTTTTATTAAATAAAAACTAATTTTTTAAATTAGAGTCAACTTTTTGAAATACAATTAAATACTCACCGGAAATGGGTACTGCTTTCTTTTTGAGTGAGAAATTCATTTTAATTAGTTAAAGTGTTATAATAATTTACCTGTGATTTAAAAGCTAAACACATGCTTTTTCGAGTGCAGAGACTTTGAGGACGACACTGCTGGGCCACAGAAATCGATGGAACTTGGCCAAAATGTAACTCGAATGTCAAAGAAAACATGGAAAGTGATGCGGGGGCAGAAGGCGGGGGAACGGATTAAGGTGCTGCAGTTCTGGCCGGAGATGAGCTGCGGGGAATCGGTCACTATATAGTAGAAGCTGGATTATTCGGTCCGAGGTCAGCCCTCCGCTCGCCCCTTGCGAAATGCAATCGACACGGCACAAAGCGTTTCATTAACCATTGCCAATTGGCAGCAATTCATTGAAAGGCATTCGAATTTGTGCGTTCTCAATTTGCCTGTGGCACGTAGCATGTAGCATATATAGTAGCATATGGATAATACGTACGTACGTATGTGGACAGCTCGCAGCCGAACTCAATTCTCCGAATCACTGAGCTAAACAAAATCATTGAAATTGCCATTGTCTGGGCACTGAGTGGATAAGCACACACGGCAGTCGGCCAACGCGTTGATATATGGCTCAAACTGGAACATTTGGCCAGTCCGCTGGTCATTTTGCGGGTCTGCCTTCCTAGGACCTTCTGGACGATGCCCTTGATTAGCCCTCCGCCGGGTCCTTTGCTGCCGATTGGATTACTTGATTTGCCAGCCAAGTGTCTAATTAATTACTTTGCATTTAAATTAACCCCCGTTTTCATCGGAGCAAACATCGATGGCAGTGTCACAAGCTGAGATGTGCACTTCGAAAACAGAATTCGAATAGTGAAATGGCGTAAAGAGAAATATAGTAGGTTAAGCAAAGCATTATTTTGTTATTGAGAAATTACGTTCGTGTACTGATAACAGTGCCACCAATATGTATGAGTATAGGTACAATTGATTTGATCTTTATAATTTATGTGTTAAAATATTACAATTGAACGGAACTAACAACACATTAAAGTTGGAATAACTATTCTTTAGAGCAATCATGTTTTGGTTTCTGGTTTCTGGTTTTTACAACTCCTTTATACCAGGTTCACCGAAACCCAATTGTAGGAACGAATTGCTGAAAGAAAATATAGTTTTTAACTTGATCCTGATACCGAAATTACCACTGCTTGCCACCACATCCCCCTCTCTTTTTGCGAAGTGTGTGACTGGCTGATTGGAGGCGTGGCAGCTGCATGTTGCGGGGCGGCCACCACTTTGGCTAATTTGTATTCAAAACACAGAAAGCAGTGTCGGTGTTTCAATTGATTGAATGAGTCTGGGGCGACCCCGAATGCCGATCCGAAGTCTGGAGACCTGGGCACCGATGTACGGAGATTAGCAGCGGGGCCAGAGTTCACCTGACTCGCTCTAATTGGAAGTGACAGATGGAAGCTTTGCTTCTGCTGCGCTCCACGGTGTGTTTGCCTTTCGTTCCTGACTTAAACCGATTTCAATGGACCTGGTTCTAATTTTAAAGCGAACGCTATTAGTTGCACAGGCAATTCGCGACGGAAGCAGCACTCAGGCTCCTAACTGGGCGAACTGCTCCTTTGTTGTGCCTGGCCAAAAAAATGCCACAGCAACTGCGGCAATAAACCACAGCACATTTCTGGATCTACTTCATATGCATAACAAATGAATAACTTTTGTATTATCCCACCGCGAAAGCTGATAAAAAAACAAAACGTACGTAAACACAGATAAACAATTGAAACGCGATA